TTGAATGTATGTGTATGCAGAAACTTCAGTAACATCAGTTCTGTCTTCCTAGCTTTTGATTCCATTTTCACCCATCTTGTAATGGTCAAATACATTAATTTCTTGTTTTTCCTAATTTATTTTTGACTAAATAAATACATGTATAGTTTTTTAAATTTCTATTTTCTAAAACAAAATATAATATTTGCTTGCACTTTAAAAATTTTACAGTTGGACACCCGGTAGTAGTGGTCTATGCCACCTTTAATCCCAGCAGTTGAAAGATAGTGGCAGGTGGATCTCTGAGTTCGAGGCTAGCCTGGTCTAGAAAGCTAGTTCCAGGATAGCCAGGCTACACAGTGAAACCCTGTTCTCCCCCCAAAATTACAACTGGAGCTGGAGAGATAGAGCATTTGCAGAGGGTCTAGATTCAGGTTCCAGTACCATGGATTTGTCCATTGGATCCCCTGGGACAAGTTACAGAAGGCTGTGAGCTGCCATGTGGGTGCTGGGAATCAAACCCAGGTCCTCTGAAAGAGCAGCCAGGGCTTTTAACCACCAAGTTACCGCTCCAGTCCCACATAATTTTTTTATAATCTTAAAAAACATTTATAATTGTGCTTTGTTGCATATTTCAAAAGTCATAACCTGGAGTGAGATGACTTGGAAGTTAAGAATGTTTGCTCTGAAATCCTAAGGACTAGCAGTTGACTCCCAGTAGCCTCATAGCAAGCAAGGCATTCCCACAAATGTCTGGAAACCCAGCTCTGAGTAGGACAGAGACACGAGAATTTCTGGAGCTTTCTGGCTTCCAGCCTAGCTGAGAAAACATGAGCCCCAGGTTCAGAGAGAGACCCCACTGTAAAGGAAAGAGTTGAAGAGCAGCACAGGAGGAATCTAACACTTTCTTCTGGATTCCATGTGTGTAAACAGATGCATGTGTACATAACTCACATAGACAAACATACATAAAAGCCTGAAAAGATCATAACCTTACCCAGAGTTGTACATAGTGTCTGCTATGTTGAATTTATATATAGGAATTTAGTTATGTGTTGTAACATGCTTGATAATGAAATGTGTGTTTGTGTGTATATACACAAACATCATATAAAGGTTAAACCAAGATTATTTAACTATAAGCATTGTTTAACATGCCATTCTTTGACACTTAAAATCTACTTGCTTAACATGACTTAAAAAGAAAAAACAAACAAACAAACAAAAAACCTCAGCACTAAGGAGGCTGAGGTAGGAAAATTGTAATTTTAAGACCTGATTGGATGATTGGGTTACCCGATGAGATCCTTATTCAGAATATGAAACAATGTAAAAGATCTGTTTGGAAATTTTCACATAACGTTGTTGGTTTGTTTTGTTTGTTTGTTTGTTAACTCTAGTCAACGTAATTTACAGTCTTTTTTGCTGGATTTTTTTTTTTTTTGAGACAGGGTTTCTCTGTGTAGCTTTGGCTGACCTGGAACTTACTATGTAGACCAGACTCGACTTCTCTCTGCCTCTGGGATTAAAGAGTGGTTGGTGCACCACCTCCTGGTTTTAAATGTGCTGGCATTAAAAGAGTGTGTAACCACCACCTGACTTGAAATGTGACCTCTCTCAGCTTGACTGTTCATAGGCAGTGACCAGTGGCCTGTGATATTTGTCCTCTGTCTCTGTCCCTTCTCCCCTCCAGTTATTAATATTATTTTGAGACAGGCTCTCATGTAAACACAGGTTAGACTAGTTAGTATTTACTGTGTGTCAGAGTGTGGCCTTGAACTCTTGTTCCTTCTCTGCCTCCCAAGTGCTGTTTGCTACCTCAAAGAGTCCTATTTCTGACTTTTTAAAAAGCATCATGTCCTAGCTGGGTGTTGGTGGTGCATTCCTTTAGTCCCAGCACTCAGGAGGCAGAGGCAGGCGGATCTCTGTGAGTTTGAAGCCAGCCTAGTCTACAGAGTGAGTTCCAGGACAGCCTCCAAAAAACAAAACAGAGAAACCCTGTCTCGAAAAAAGCAAAAACAGACAAACAAAAAAGCCATCATGTTCATTAAATTGTTGCTAAGGAATATTCTACTTTGTGTATGGTGCACCATATTTTCTTTTTTAAAAAATGTTTTATTTTGTATGTGGATGTTTTGCATGCATATGTCTGGTGCCACATACATACATACCTGGTCATGGTGGAGGCCAGGGAAGGCATTGAACCCCCTGGAACTGTAATTAAAGATAGCTGTGGATCACATATTTGTGTGTATGTACTCATGACCTTTTCAAAAGGTGGTTAATGAGATTTTCTTCATTTCCAGTGCTAAAAACATTTTTGTATCTTTTTTCCCAGTGCTGATTATTGTCAACCACAGGCCTTCACATTCTAGGCAAGTACCGTGCTGGGTTTCTGTTGTCTGTTTGTTTTGGATTTTTTTTGTTTGCTTGCTTATTTTTGAGTCTCACCAAGTTGTCTTGACTGACTTTGAATCTGTTTGGTGGCTCAGGCAAGCCTTCAACTTTTATGTTCCTCTTTTATTTATTTCCCCAAGGAGCCAGGATAAAAGGCCTCTAGCATCAGACTAGGCACAGCATTAGCATTTTGATTTATAACTAAGTTTATTCACACTAGAGAGATGACTCAGTAGTTAAGAGTACTCGTTGTTCTTGCAGAAGACCCAGGTTTTCTTCCCAGTACCCATGTGGTGGCTCACAGTTGTAGGGCATCTTCTGATGCCCTTTCCTGACCAGGCATACACTGTTGTATATACATACACACAGGCATACAGGCAAACAAAAAGTTACGCATGAAATAAATATTTTTTAGTATATTTTCTGTTCTCTAATTCATTGATTTCCCAGTTAATTTTCATTATTTTCTTCAGTTTATCATTTCTCATATTTACCTGAGATGTTTATTTAATTATTTTAATTGTGTTTTTCTTCAAGCATTTATATACTTATGGTCATTCTCTTGAGAGTTGAGTCAGTGAGGTTCAAAAAGGAAATTCATTTGCTTTTTTTATTTCCTTTTTTAAATCTTGAAATTTCATTTCATGTGTATGAACGTTTTGTCTGCAAGTATGCTTGTGCACTATATGTGCATGCCTCGTGCCTCAGAGGCCAGAAGAGGGTGTTGGATACTTTGGAACTGGAGTTACAGAAAGATGGTTGTGAGACACCGTGTAAGTGCTGGGAATTGAGCCTGGGTCCTCTGGAAGAGCAACTGAGCTATTTCTCCAACCCTCATTAGACTTTTTAAGGTAAATGTGCACTCATTGTTAAGTCATTTATATATAAATGACCTAGTATAAAATTCATTTTGTGCTTATGTTTTACAGTAAGCTGTTTTGTAACTTTTATTTTCTCAAGACCAGAAAGTGAATGCTGTTTTTCATCTGTCTAAACTATAGGTAAGCTACAGCTGATTCAGTCTTATAAAATGAACCTTCTCTCTTTCCCCAGAGTAATGTCCATCTTTTGTGATGTGTTAGCCCTGTTAGTTTATCAGGTAAGGGGTGAAACAATTTTAATTCTTTTTTTTCTTTAATTATTATTTTGTGTGTCAGTGGTTTGCTTGAAGGACACAGCTACTTTCTCCCTATGTCCTCACATAGTCTTCGTTCTCTGGGTATACCTCTTTGCTGACTCTGGGTATCCTAGCCTCCTGTTAGAAGAACATCAGTCCGCTTGAATCAGGACCATCCAGATGGCCTCATTTTAGCTTTAGTCAGTCTCTAAAGATCATATGGCCAAATATGTCACATTCTTAAATGATAGGGATTAGGAATGGCACACAGTTTGGCCTACAACAGATAACAACCAGCTAAGACATTATAATAATTCACAAGAGAAATAAAAGTGGTTTGAACTAGATTGGTAGCAGTGGATGAGAAGTGGTTGGGTATGGGTTTATGAATTTTGAAATGGAGCCAACAATTTTTTGACACCTTGATTGTGTTGTACAAAACAAAGGAGAGTTCATGGTGACCCTTCAAGTTTTTGGATGGGTTGAAAGTTTATTTTCAGTGTAATGAGGACCTGGCACGTTCTAGGCACTCATTTCTGTAAGCTCAGCCTCAGAAAAGAAAGTAGGAATAATGTTCTCCAATGGTTTTAAGATTTGAGGGTTGATTGTGACAGGAACAAAGCATGCTCTCTGCTCAAGACATTAGTATTTTTCCAATGAGGCAAGTCAGTGTTTGGTGTGGCTTCCTCCCACCATTTAGTCCTTTAGAACTTTGACACCCACCGTGCATAAATTGTGAAGATGAACTCTGAGTCCCCATCTTGGTAAGAAAATAATACATAGATTGTATCCAGATCCACTTATGTGGATATTTTTATTGTCTAACAAGTATTCATTTAATGGGTATATATACACTTCCTAGTGTACTATCAGATGAGCAGAGATGATGGGCTTAGAGTGTGAGGAGTGTCTCTGTGGTGCCAGGGGACATCTGAACAACAACTACCGCTGTACAGAATGTTGAAAATTCTATTCATAGTCACTGTTTAGCATAACTGTGTCTGTGCTATTTAGTTCAAAGTTCTTAAACAATTTTCCTCTTTATATTTGTTAGTCTTACAGCACCACAAAGGTACATCTGTATACCTTGCATTCTTGAATTATTCAGTTATCATTTCCTCCAAAGCTAAATTTTAAAGCCTTTCCAAGTGACTTTTGAAATACTGTTATCTGTTTATACCTTTTTTTTCCTGTTGTTTAAATTTATCACTCACTGCAGTAAGCAAGAGCAGTATCTGTGCTTTTCAGAAGGAAATAATAAAACTTGCTGGGTGAAAATTAGAAACCTGGACTTAGAGCCTGGCATTGGTGGCACAAGCCTTTAATCCCAGCACTGGAGAGGCAGAGGCAGGCGAATCTCTGTGAGTTCAAGACCAGCCTGCTACAAGTGCTGGTTCCAAGTGCTGGTTCCAGGACAGCCTCCAAAGACACAGAGAAACCCTGTCTCGAGAAACAACAACAAAACAAAAAAGAAACCTGGAGTTAGTAAATTGATGAAACAGGAAGTCATGTATTGTCTCATTAGTGTGCCTTTGAGATCCTTTTGATGTGTTTCCTCTGAGTTGTGCTCCATTCCATTTATCACTGTGCTGAATTTGGTGAGAATTTTCATTTGCTAGCATTGAGTTTTGATATTGTTTTCATTTACAAATTTGAATGTAGACTCCAGTCCATTCTTGGATACTTGACCTGTGTGATAAATTGTAGACATTCTCCCTAGAAAAATAGATGCATAGTAAACAACAAAGATTCATAGGTTATACAGTAGCCTATAGATGTCAAAAAAGGAGATCTGTTGAAAGTTTGAGAACTTCCCATGTGCCAGGCACTGTCCTAGGTATTAAACAGTAGTGAACAAACTGAATAATAAAAATGGAAGTATGTGTGGGGAATCTTGTCTATTAGGGTTCACATTCAGTGGAGAAAAATAAAGTAGAAAGTATGGAAAGGGTGTGTGTAACTTGGAATGAAGAATGAGGTGATCAGAAAAGGCTCCAGCGAGAATATGTAACAATTGAGCAAAGATTTAAATGAGGTAAGGGAGAAACTTTGAAGACATCTAGAGGAAAAGTCCTTAAGGGAGAGAGAGAGAGAGAGAGAGAGAGAGAGAGAGAGAGAGAGAGAGAGAGAGAGAGAGAGAGAGAGAGAGAGAGAGAGAGAGAGAGAGAGTACTGTTACACAGAGAACCCTGTCTCAAAACAACAGGAATCTGGGTAAGGGATCCCTGCAGACTATCCTCTCCACCCCCTCCTTTCTTTTCCTCTTTTCTCTCTCCCACCTCCCTCCCTCCCTCCTCCCCTCCCTCCCTTCTTCCCTCCTGCATTTATTCAGTGTGTATGTGGGAGGTGGGTGGGTGCTATATGGCACCAATGTGGTTATTGGAGAGCAGTCAGTTCTCAACTCCTACCATGTAGATTGGTTACAGGAGTAGAACTCGGGTTTGGCAGCAAGCACCTTTATCCACTGAGCCATTTCTCCAGCCTCAGTAAAAAGTTTCTATCAGTCTTTTCTGCAATGATTTTGACTTTGAGATTTCTTAGTGATAGAAATATAAATAATATTTCTACTTTGTCTCATAGGTTTGGAGGCACCAAGTAAGAAATTGATACACATATATATATATATATACATATATATATATATGATGCTGGAAATTTGTAAACACAAACTGCTAATGAATGAAAGGCTTGAAACAGATGTATTTTTGAAGTTACCAGTGAAATGACTATGAAAATGGGGATCAAGAAGACCAATGGAAAACCACTTAAGAAGGAACCATAGAAAATGTACACTTCAGAAGTAAGATGTAACCAGAGAACTCGAAAAATATACCATATACGCCCTCAGAAGGGGAACAAGATTTATATTCGCGTACATGAGATTACTCAAATAGATAGTCAAATACATCAGTGCCTTGAACGTGAACAAAACTTTTGTGAAAAGTTAGCACGTATGTGCGAGAAGATGTATACTGGGGAGAAACCTTATAGATGTGATATGTGTGAGAAAACCTTCATCCAAAGTTCAGATCTTATTTCACACCAGAGGATCCATAATTTCGAGAAACCTTATAAGTGTAGCAAATGTGAGAAGAGCTTTTGGCACCACTTAGCCCTTTCAGGACACCAGAGGACACATGCAGGTAAGAAGTTTTATACCTGTGACATCTGTGGCAAGAATTTTGGTCAGAGCTCCGATCTGCTTGTCCACCAGCGAAGCCACACAGGTGAAAAACCTTATCTGTGTAATGAGTGTGATAAATGCTTCAGTCGAAGTACAAATCTCATAAGGCACCGAAGAACTCACACAGGTGAGAAACCATTTAAGTGTGTGGAATGTGAAAAAGCTTTTAGTGGGAAATCAGATCTTATTAGCCACCAAAGGACTCATACTGGTGAAAGACCATACAAATGCAGTAAATGTGAGAAAAGTTATCGACACCGTTCAGCCTTCATTGTACATAAAAGAGTTCATACTGGGGAGAAGCCGTACAAGTGTGGTGCCTGTGAGAAGTGCTTTGGCCAGAAATCAGACCTTATTGTACACCAGAGAGTCCATACCGGTGAGAAACCATATAAATGTTTGGAGTGCATGAGGAGTTTTACTCGGAGTGCAAACCTAATTAGGCACCAGGCAACTCACACTCATACTTTCAAATGCCTTGAATATGAGAAAAGTTTCAGCTGTAGCTCAGACCTTATTGTACATCAGAGAATCCACATGGAAGAAAAACCACATCAATGGTCTATGTGTGAGAGTGATTTCTTCCTAGACGTGGACTTTGTTGCCCAGCAGAAAATGAGGGCGCAAACAGAGGAGCTGCATTATAAGTACAGTGTGTGCGATAAAAGCTTTCATCATAGCTCAGCCCTTCTTCAACATCAGACAGTACACATTGGTGAAGAGTACATCTGTAATGTGAGTGAAAAAGGTCTTGATCTCAGCTCTCATGCGTCAGAAACACCACGGATGTCCTGACAAGACGTCACGTAACCTTAAAAGAAAGGTATTTACACATCAGAACTCATAAAAGAAAGTCTCCTAGGTGAATTTCAGATTTTCCTCAGATCTCACACTTCATTGGGAACCAGAGAGAGTCTACAGTCTTGGAACTGTAAGGGAAGCTTTATGCAGAGAGTACCCCCATCGGGATGCCATTATTAGCCACATTTGCGAAGAACTCTGCAAATGCTCTGGGCTTTGGAAATCCTTCCACAGTAGGAGGTTCATACAGATAGGAAGCCTTACATGTGCAGTATGGGAACTCTCCAGTGGTGTTAAACTCTCATCCTTACAAGAGAATTCACACCAGAGAGCAACCATTTAAATGCTTTGTGTTAGTAATTTGAGCAGGATGTATGCCTTATTGGATATCAGAAAATTTACCCTAGGGAGAAACCTCAGGAATTACAGGAAAAAAAAAAAAAAACTTCTAACAGAATTCTGACCTTCTTACCCATCAGAGAAGCCATGCTGGCATAAGTGGATATTTATCTTGAGTGTGGCAGAAACATTTGTTGGAGAGTCTTACTTGGGTTTGCATCCTCCTAAGCAAAAATCAGAAGAAAGTGTCTGAATAAGAAAACCTTGTTAATTTTCAGCTCTTGGGGTATATTAGGGAATTCACATCAGTGAATACCCATAAATGCTTTGTGTCTGAGAAGCTAGAAACTCTCATCTAATTGGGCCCCAAGGAACCAGTTCAACGGAGGAGTTGCTCCAGTAAGAGATTTGGTAGTGGGTGAGAATCTGTACATATGCTATGTATGAAAAGAATTGTTCTCATGGTTGAACCACACTGTAAAAAACTAGAGTTGTTCAGAAGGAAATAGTGTCTTAGAGACCCAGAACCTTGTTCTGGAGGAGCTGGGGCAGGTCCGCATGGATCTGAATGGTAACTCAGGTAAAGACACTTTTCTTTTGTCTGAACCACTTAGTGATTGCTTTAGTTTCACTTCTAAAAATTCATAAATCCATGAAAGGGACTGTAGTCTTGTGGATAAGGTAAGGCATGAGTTATTGTTGGAGAAAGGAGCACTTTGAGTTTTGCTTCTTCTTCTTCTTTTAATTCTCTTTTCTAGAATGGGAATGATGTGTTGATAGCAGGCTATGAGATAAGAACTAAGAAGCTAGGGAGTACTTAGTTTGCATTAAAATTCTCAGTAGTAGTTTCGTCTTTGCATGATCAACCTCAGCAAAAAGCAGAATACTCAGCTCTTAGTGTTGAGATCTGCCCTCAAAATTGTCCCTAAAGTATTCTTTGAGTTATCCCTGGTTCTTGAGATGTCAAATTTAGAGGTTCATTTCTTTTCAAGTCAAAATAACAACTTTCAGGATACTGGTTGTGATGATGTTATAGTATCCAGACTTTTAGGACCTGCTTACTCTCTTTCAGTGACAGATACTGTTATCAACTGACTCAGAGCAGAAGGGATAGGGGAAAGTTGTAAGCCAGGGAAAGCAGGGACACACAATGAAACATTCTTAATAGCTTAATAGGACACTGATTTTGAGGGTCCTGACTCCAAAGCTCCTGTACTCCTTCTTCATTCTGTTATCCTGATGCTTGCAGCAAATTAAGCTTTATAATGACACATTTTTCTTCATTTATTTCAGTTCTATCAAGGAAAGAAAAATACAGTTTAATCCCAGGGAAAGGATTGCAATCAACACAAAACAATATAAGGTATATTCTTGGTTTGAAATGCAGGATTCTAAGTATTAGAAAAGTGGCTGGCACATTCACCTAAGGTTTGAGGATAAGCATTTGTTTCCAGTACAATAGGGTAATTGATTGTCTTTAGCATTCTTTGGCTAGCTTATGACCTCTTATCGTTGCTTTTGTTTCTTGGGCTTAAAATACCTTTAATAGAAATATTTCAAGTTTCTGTAGTATTTGGGACTCTGTAGAATATAATTATTTTATTGCTAATCACAGTCCTCTGGTTTTGATGTAATTTGTTCAGTGAACCCCTGAATTCCATGGGGTATTAGTGTTTAGAGTCATGAAATTGATACCTTACATGTGGCTGTAAGCTTATAATCTGATAGTTGTTTGGTAATCATAATCTTTGGGACTGTGAATTTCGCTCAGCATAGAATCTGGTTCCAGTGATTTTCCTTTAAAGAAACAGGTTGTGTCGGTTTTAATCTGACATGTTCTAGTAATTTTTATAAATAACTTTAGTACCATAAAAATTTGTCCATTGTGATAAACACACACAAAATGAGTATTTTTCTTCTTGTGGAATATCATGCCTATTATTAGCAAAAGTTTGATACTTGTGACACTTAAAATAATACTGGGTATGTGACAACGGCAGTAAAAAATAGTCATTGTGGCTGCTCTTTGGTCAGTAGAGAGACCATGGAGAAAGAGACACGGTTTAAAACATTAGTAGGTTGGTGACTTACCCTTCCTTCAGCCTGTCTCACTGTAATTGTCTATAGTCACTAAGTAAACTAACACTGGACCATTCCTCAAACAGAACTTTGGGGATGTAAAGCAGGCCTGAGGCCTGTTAACTATGGTGAGAAGGTATTGGTATTACATAGCATAACCTGAGGTTGGAGAGGACCACTTGGGAGCCTGTAGCCAAAGCTAGAAGGTAACTTCTGGGATGGATGGAGGTTCCCTTGAAGCAGTGCCAACCCAAATCTACCTCAGGTAAGTAGCTAGGTTTCAGACCAAATGAGATAAATTATATTCCATCCATGTACTCCTCTATGCTTTATTGCTTTTGTTTACCTTTAATTCTTAAATAAACATTTGTTCTGAAAGAAATTTTGTCTCCTCTGTACTATGAGAAATTATCAAGTCCCCTGCATTTACATTGGGATATACTACTCAATGATGCAATGTGTAGGTGGAAGCCATAATCATTAGACAAGGACAAAAAACAACCACATTCTTTGCCAAAATATTACAAGGAAGATCCCTGGCAAGTTGCTAATATTCTTCTTCTCTGAAACCTGAGCTTAGTTCCCACAGTCTGCATAGCTCTCAGCACTACCGTCTTCCAGGCTCCTAATATGATGGGCCATCAAGCTCTGCTTACAGACTTCATCTGCTTTTCTATTCCAAAATCCCAAAGTCCTGCTACATTCCTTCAAGAAAACCACAAGGTCAGGTCTGTCACAGTAATAGCCCACTTCCCGGGTTCTGTTTTAGTTACCTTTCCATTATTATGATAGCACACCGTGACTACAGCAACTTACAAAGAAAGTTTGATTTACAGTTTCAGAGGCGTAAGAGTCCCTGATGGTGGAGGCAAGGAACAGCTGAAAGCTCACATCTTGACACACAGTCACAAGGCAGAGACAGCTAACAGGGAATCACAAGTCTTTTGAAACCTCAGAGCCCACTCTGAGTGGCACATACCTGTTCCAATGAGTTCACACTTCCTAAACTTTCCCAAAGAGTTCTGCCAACTGGGGAGTAAATATTCAAATAAATGGGCCTACAGAGGCCATTCTCCTTCAAACCACCACAGCCGAGATAACCCGAATGTGGGTCCCCAGTACCCGTGTAAAATTCAGGCACAGTGGGGCTTTTGATCCTGTGCTGGGGAAGCAGAGAAAAGAGAATCCCAGGATCTCACTGGCCAGCCAGTCTAGCCAAACTGGTAAGCTCCAGGTTCAGTGAGAGACCTTGTCCCAAAATTTAGACAGATTGAGAACACTCAACAGTTATTTCCAGCCTCTGCATATGGACATGTACAAAGTTGAGTGGGAATAAGGTGGGTGGGTGGTGGCACGTGTCTTTAATCCCAGCGCTCGAGCAGAGACATGCAGATAAGGGAAAAACCTAATAAAAAGCTCTGCTTCACTAGTTTGGGTCCTCTAGAAGAGCAGTATGAATCATTTCTTCAATGCCCAGTTTGCTCATTTTATTTTTGGTTGGGAGCCAGACTTGAATAGCTGAGCCATCTCTCCAGCCTCTGTTTGCTTATTTTAAAGGAGGAATTTGGTTTGTTTGATTTGCTGCTGAGGGTTCTGATTTCCTTATATATTGAGGGTAGTGATCAAATGAATACTTTGCCAATGTTTTTCTTCCATTCTGCAGGCTCTCTTCAAAGATTACGTTCCTTGTGAAGAAGACTTAGTTTAAAATAATGCCATTTGTCTAGTTTTGCTTTTTTACCTCTACTTGTGGGGTCTTATAAAATTGCCTATTCCTCTGTCTTGAAATGTTTCCAGTGTTTTGTTTTGTTTTGTTGTTCCATGTACTTACATAGTTAGGTTAATTTAACTCTTAGAATTCTTGTGGCTTTTTGTACCTGGTAACGGATAGGGATCTCGTTTCATACTTCCGCATGTCGACATCCACAGTTTATTTTGGAATTTGTTCTTCCTAAATTGAGCAAAGTTAAATCGGTTTTAAAAGCTCTCCTGTTGATTCCCCCCTTTTTTTTCTCTTTTAACTTTTCCATGTGGGTTTCATATTAATCTCTACCTCCCCCTCCCTGCTTCCCAGGACCATGGGAAAGGATATGAGGCCCAACCACATGGTGCCCCACCAGCTCCAGGCTCCTCTGAAAGCTTTCCTAGATACCTTCTTTTTATAATTGTTTTACCACCGTGTGTGTGTGTGTGTGTGTGTGTGTGTGTGTGTGTGTGTGTGTGTGCGCGCACACGCGCTTGCGCGCGCGCGTGCGCGCACAAACCCACCACAGTGCATATGTGGAAATCAGAAGACAATTTTCAGGCGTGTTTTCTCTCCTTCCACCTTCAGGGTCCTTGAAATCAAACTCAGGTTGTTAACATTAGCATTGAGTTTCTTTACTTGCTGAGCCATCTCACTGACCCATTGCTAAATTTATTCTTGATGGCCTTTTCCCCTCCTTTAATCTCTCTGCCTTCTTGCCTCTGTCATTTCTCAAAAGAAATTAGCTATTAACCTCCTGAAAATGTGTTTTACTAAATTAATTGCTTCTTTTTTGCTGCCTTTAAAATTGTTTGTATTTGCTCCTTGGTGTTGTATTGTAATGAGTCTTATAGCTCTTTGAACTTATACTGCTCGGAGTTTGTTGAGATTCTTGGATGTGACTGTCCATGAATTTTGTCAAGTTTGAGAAGTTTTCAGCATTAGTTCTTCAAATATCACTCCTGTCCATCCCAATCCTCCTTCAGCTTCTCTCATAAAGAGTGGCAGCTCACCTGCCACTAGCCATAGGCCACCTAGGCTCTGCTTTCTGCTCTTGGGAGAGTTTGTTTTTTCCTACTTTCTGCTTGTTTCTAAAGGATTCTGTCAAATGACAAGAACTTAGAGTCTCCTAGTTTTCCATCTTACTCCAAAGGTTTCTTATATAGCAATTGAGATCCTGGCAGGGAGATGTTTCTATGCTGATTTTTAAAAATTCAACATAAATGAAGAACTTTACTTCTTCAGCTGAAGAACAGTGTTTTTAAATTAATAATAATAAAAGTCCCACAAAACATTTCAAATTGCCAGGTCATTAGTGATTTGTTCATCAAAACAAATTGTAGAAACTAAGAACTGGAGGGAAAAAAATAGGGGAAGAAAGCCGGAAAACATACTTGGTGT